CATCAGCAAAGCGTGTCTGCAACCTTGAAGGAACTCATGTCCCTTCTGAGATTCGAACCCGCCACATTGCAAGCTCGACTGATAGAAATCAGTCTGCACCAATGAGAGGACTAGACACATTACACTAGTTGCTGACTAGTGTACAACCAAAAATATCCAATACAGTCCTACAAGAGGTCAATCGCGAGCCTGAATAGCTCAGTGGTAACGTCTCTGACTGCAGCGCTGCGTGACGCTGGTTCGAATCTCAGAAGGGACATGAGTTCCTTCAAGGTTGCAGACACGCTTTGCTGATGAGTCCCAACTAGCACGAAACCTAGGCCTAAGGCTTCCTGTGGCCGATTGCCTCCAAGCATCTAATACCAACATCTCACAATGCACCGTAGTGGCGAGCCACCTAGCATGGTGGCCACATTGCAAGCTTGACTGATAGAATTCAGTCTGCACCGAAGATAGGACTAGACACATTACACTAGTTACTGACTAGTGTGCAATCAAAAAAAAAGCAAATGCTGATTCAGCATTGCGGAGAAACATGGGAGACGTGTGAAAATGAAGACAAAGAAACAGAATACATAGTTCAAAAGTAACACAACACGGAAGATCTGTGCAAATGGTGGTTCAAAGATAAGGTGTACATGTAACGACAGAAAACAAGTCATGCAACAGATTGTTTATTAAGGAAATCAACACATATTTATATATTTTTATGTACATTATTATTCGTTATTATTAGCAGAGAAACAGAGTCTTCTGATTGGTTGTTTTCTCGCTGAAAGTTAATCTATCATCTCTTTGAGGCAAGTCCTTTGAAGGTCAAACCACATGTCCACATGCTAAGTCTGCCGTGATTTATTGTTGAGTTAGTCTTTGCTCTTGTCTTTTTCTCATGAGCAAGATTTAGGGCGTAAATATTAACGTAAATTACTGTATACCAATTCTGGCTAGCAGACAGCTCTCGCCACATACATAATTTCGGTGTATAGAAATACCAAATTCCAAATAAATATTCCATCACCGAGTCTCATCTCTTCTACTCTTACATAGTAAAGGACAAGTTGCAGGATAAGATTTCGAATTCCATAAGTATCTCCTAGTCAGACCGAGGTGATTTTAACATGGACGACTGCTTTAACAGTTTTGGGCCGAGATCATAAACGGTGTATCCGGTTCGACCTAGCTCAGACAGCCAAATCAAATCACATCGTTCGGTGTGTAGATCACCTCAATCTGTCTAGTAAGCAGTGCTGGTTGGACGTGGGTGGTATACAACTACTCACCTTAATCAATCAGTAGCATATAGTTTTATGCAAATATGTTTGCTTTTCTTATTACTATTTATAGAATCAGGCAGATAACATAGTGTGACCTGAATAATTTAGTTTCTAATGGAAACCATCATGAAAATTTACCCCTTGAACTTTGAACATCTCAAACTGCCAACTAATTTGCAAATTTTGAATTCACTTCAAATTCTAGGCTAATAAAGCAATTCATATTAATGCAATTTCTTAGCTAATTGGAACTACGATCCTGAAGAGAGACAACTACATCATCCATCGAGAATTTGAATAAGCTGAATTCATAATTAAATCTGGGCTGAAGATGTTGTCTAGAAAGACTACGAAAGCTTCGCAATTAAACCAACAAGCCCAATGAACATAATCACATAGAAATGATCTCACTTTGCTGTAAGTTAGATTGTGTTAACGATATTGAATAACACATCTATCCTTGGCTACACTTAAAGTATAAAAAATTGAGTAATGAGATTTATTTATAATTGGAACATTGATGCAGCGCACATTTGCTTTCCTAATTTACTTACAATTTATTGATGCTTTTACAAAACACCCAAACTATTTAGTGATATAAATCTAGTTCAGATGAAAATCTCATCCAACAGTTGTATGACAATGCTGCATGCCAAGTAATCCACAACGGGAAACTTACGGAAGCCTTCGAAGTGAGGAAGGGAGTGAGACAAGGCTGCCTACTATCACCGATGATCTTCCTGATTGCAGTAGAATGGATAATGCGACAGACAACCAGCAATGAGGAAACAGGCATAAAATGGACTCACACAAAAAAAGCACGGAGGATCTGGACTTCGCCGATGATATATGTCTGATTTCCCACAAACTGGAAGATATGCAAGTGAAAAGCAACAAGTTGTCAGAAGAAGCATCAAAGATAGGACTTCAAGTGTACATAGATAAAACAGAGGTAATGAAGATTCTTGGCCAACAGCAACAGCAGCAACAGCAACAGACAACAATCAGTATAAATGGGAGGAACCTGAAAGAAACAACCTCCTTCACCTACCTGGGAAGCATAGTTTCAACTACAGGCGGAATTAACGAGGATATCAAAGAAAGGATCATATGGAAAGCAAGGCAAGCTTTCATTACTCTTAAGTCTGTGTGGAAGTCAGCAGCACTCAGCATCAAAAATAAGATTCAGATTTTCAACTCCAATCTGAAGTCAGTGCTACTTTATGGGTCAGAGACTTGGCGCGTCATGAAGAGCATCTCAAACAAACTACAGACCTTGTCTTCGCTCAATACTCAAGATCAGATGTCCAGCCAGAAAAGATCAGCAACAGGGATCCCTGGTAATCAGCAAACCAACCAGGAACCGATTGTGAAACAAATAAGCAGGGAAAAATGGGGATGGATTGGCCATACACTGAGGAAACCATCAAGTGACATCACTAGACAAGCCATCGCTCGAGTGGAACCCGAAAGGGAAGCGGGCGGCGAGTTGGTCGTCAGTGCAAGGGTGACTTAGAGGAGATCATATGAAGAGGAGATGAAAGCGTGTGGGCAGACTTGGGGCGGGGTGAAAAAGTTGGCAGAAAACAGAAGGCAATAGAGACACGCAGCCGAAGCCTTACGTTCCTCTAGGAATTAAAGGAAACAATAATAATAATCGGATGAAAATCAACCTCTCAAATTTCACACTTGATACCAATTGGTTTTCACAAAAAGGCAGGTTTTTAAATAAGGGGTGGATAGTAAGACTGAAATGAGGAAGATGCATATGTAGTATCCTTCGTGATTATCTTAGACCTGCTAAGAAGGACATTTTCCAAGGAGTCTATTGTACTAATGATTCTAGAGATTATATTTATATTAATACTTCAACTTATCACCAAAGTTTTCAGACATCCCCTGTTTCATTTGGAAATCTAAACAATAATACTGTGGTACTTTTGTAAACCGAAATTTCAATACCTGTAATACTCTATCTGGATTCATTTCGAAATGCATTAGAAATTAACTGCAAAGAATACAACTACATTCTCTTGATGATGCCTTACGCTAGCTACTTGGATGAAACTATAAAGTATAAAAGTAGGTACATTGTGTTAAACAAACAATTTACTAATATTGGTTAGAAAAACAATGTAAAGCCTGGGAGTACTGGAAAGCTGTTTCGCCCTAGTTTGGGACTCTCCACCCACCTTCAGGGTTCGAACCTAGGACCTTCTGGTTACAAGGCGAGCTAGCTAGTAGACCACTAAGCCACTGGCACCCGATCCAATGGTCAGCACATGAATTCTAACTTCTGCCAATTCACGACTAACGGTCGCGCTATGTCGTCCTGGGTTCGAACCCCCGATGGGTACGTTGTCCTGAAGAGTCCCGAATTAGGCTGATGAAACAGCTGTCCATTACTCCCAGGTTTTCCAATGGTTTTCTAACTGTTGTCAGCTCATGATGAAATCCTGTATCCAACCAATCAAATCCCTACAAACCAACACTTGAATTTACTAATAGTTGATTATCATCGTCAGTCGTAAAGCCAGCATACAATGATTTAACTGAAGAAGCTTCACACGTTTAGAAACCTGTTGGTGACTGCGAATGTCACATCAATCTGGAATAATAGGATCACTCTGCTCTTTAGTCTGCTGCCAATTACGTCTGAAATACTGCTTGCTGTTGGGCTTCGCATACTTCGTAAACCGCAAGAGAAACTAATCAGTGGGGAGTAGACTGGGTTTTGTTCAAGTCAGCAATGTATTGACCACGTGCATGCAATCCATTGCAACTGTTATCCGTCAGATGTAGAGTTAGATAGTAGTATAGATGCGCTATTCAGAAATACTGTTTGACCTTGAGTACAACGTTGTCTCATTGATAACATAAACACGGTCCATAATGCACTTAATCAGCTATTGGTCAGTTTCTTGATGGTATATTCCTTGCAAAATATTGTTACAATAGCCAGTTTCTGTAACTACTATCCAATGTGATTTATTAGAAGTAGCCCGAAAGTATAGAGAGAACTCTACTAGTATACACAAACCTGGATCACACTTTCCACCCTCAAGGTGTTAACCTGCTCACCAAAAGTGAAGTTTACAGGACTTGAACACGTGCAGCCATCCCATACGCTTGCAATGACTGGGTTCGCTCTCCACACCACCTACTGTTTGCTAGCCCCGGGGATTGCTTGGAATTAGCGAGGAGACGCCAAGTCTAAGATATGATCCTGTAAGATGAAGGATAGTTATTTTCGATTAACATCTACAGGGACACCATTACCCTCTGGATTGGATCGGAGACACCAAGTAACTCGCTGGTTCAAGAACTTATATCAATATGGCTAGGAATCAAAATCCCTGACGAATATGATAACATCCCTTACTTTCTTCTATTCCTGAAAGTAATATAATGTAACCAACATCCTTCTGAATATAATCGATAAATATGTTTATCATAAACTATAGGACTGAACATTGTTCGACACATGTATGAAGTCCTAAAGTGTTTATTTACATATATACACTTAACTGCGACTTCTAGACTAACACAGATAGATTTTACATAACGGTACGATGTATCCAACCATCTGATATATCGTAGAATGCCGCTACAGTCATTGAGTACAAAGGCGTATCATTAGCTATCGTGCGCATTATACTTGGAATTTTAAAAATGCTAATAAAACTTTCTTTAAAAAACATACAGAAAGGTAGAAAAGACAGTTTCACTGATAAAAATTTTTATAGTGAGAATAGGATTAGAACAAGTGATTTGTACAATAAGACAGAGAAGTCATCATCTTTGAACACTTGTGACATTTATAAAACCCTAAAGTAATCTGAAGCATTTTTATACAAATACACACACACACACACACACACACTAGAAAAAGTGTAGAAAATAGAGAATTAATGTATACGAGACCTATGCACACCGACTGGAGAGTTTATAAATGAAGATTTATGTACAAGTGGTACATTGGGAATTGGATTGTCTTCTATAACTTTCAAAGTGCTAGTCATCTCTGTGATAAGTCGTTGCATTTCTTTAATACCGTTATGACGTTGAGTTAAGTACTGAAAAGAAACAAATTGTAGGAAAAAAATTAAACATCAATTTTTTAGATAAACTGAAAAGTCTTGACAGGTGTGAAATAAATACATAAATATGCATGACGCGTGTCCGTGTCTATACCAGATAGCAATAAAATAGAGTAAGACTTTTAGTCGCTGTGTTATCATTGGCAGTAAAGAGATATTTTATTTATAAACGCATCACGCTACATACTACTGACTGATTGACATGAGTAGTTGAATACCCCTCACATCAAGCAGTAGTGCTTGTTATCCAGATCGAAGCGATGTAAACACCCAACGACTGTTTCCCTCGTTTGGAGGAGAGCTTATCAGCAGTTCTCTCCATTTGACTCAAGGTACACTACCAATGAGCTCAGTCCAAAACGACATAAACGTCCCTTCCGGTGTTTAGATCACTTTGCAATCCAGTTAGTGAGCACTACTACTGGTCGGTGTGGGTGGTATCCAAATACTTATATCAATGAATCGGTAGTATGTGGTGTGATGCGAATATGCTTGCTTTCTTGGATGGCCACTTATGGCGTCAAGCAGATTACATATCGTGACGTGAATAATTTCAGTTCCCAAAAGAAACTGTGATGAAATTCCATCTCCAACTGTAGAATTTGCAAATTGTGAACTTGACCTAACTCTCTTATATACTTCATAATACTTGCTAAATCGATTTTCGGCTACTATGAATACTCAGAATCATATGATCTCCAAATTGTTTTAGCGGCAAGTTTGACATTGTTCATTATAGAAGGAAATGAACCACTACTATACACAACTGTCTGAGATGACAAATCCGAATGTAACACATTTGCTTTTGTCCAGAGGAATATAGTACACTAGCTGGTAAAACTTGGTTAGTTTTACTGACCATTTCTCCTCCGTAAGGTCAACATATACGCGAGGAGTAGACATCGATTCAGAGAGAGCTACAGATAATTGCCACATGTAAGGCTGAAAAAATTATCACCACTGATTGCCTGACTTTTAATAATTACATTTTCATTTTTATACTACTTGCAAGTAGATTAAATGACTTTATGCAATAATATTTTTTTTTTTTGATTTACAGCTTGATTCCACACTGTATTTTTGGTACAAGTATGGAATTTTCAGCGTGGATATCGGTAGCCCAAATTTCGCAGGCCGACCATAGATATCAGGTGTGCGTCGCCGGGTGCTCGAACCCCGGACCATATGCGTGGTCGGCGAGAGTCCTAACCACTGTGCCACCGACGTATAACCCTCTTACTAGAATTTATTCTTTGTTATCAGTTAACAATTGGTTTGTTTCATATTGATGTCCATATTTGTTACAGTGATAACGGTAACACTTCGGCACACTGAATAGTAGGTAATTTCACAATAATAATACAATTCTACCATGTCACGTAATGCACTGTCATCTGATGTGGAACAAAATATTGTGATTATCCGTAGTCATTATCAATTCCTAAGAATTTTAACATCCATACACAATTTAATGTAGATATCTGAAGTGAGTCTGTTTGCAGAGTTCCCAAGTCACTATAAATCCCATTTCAAAGTTTACCATCATTTATCTGTATTCAACTGTTGCCCAATAATTTTAAAATAAGCAATCTTCCTTTCGCAATATAGTTCTCACTAACAATAGTTATCATTTGTCGATGAAATCCCATCCATTTGTAAACAAATACACACTAGATAGCACACCTGTTGTCGTATCAATAGAAAATGAAGTGAAAAATGAAATGTTACCCACTACTGCATGCAGCTGTCAATGAGCTGTATCCACTGTATGAGGACTACTGGTTCTACGTGGCTGCTCAAACACCTCAGTAAGTTGGGATGAATTCGAACCCCAAGAACCAGTATTTGGAAGTCGAGCGCCTAAACTAATAGAACCACACTCAAATCGAAAACATTTATTACATATAGCCTAGTTACTATTACTACAGCTGAAGGAACTTTCTGTCCTTATAAGTCCGTTCGAGTTTAATCAATGAAATAGTGCACTTTAAAAGTTAGACGTTAAGATTTCTTTAGAACAGATTTAATACCACCAAAGAGAAATACTCCATTTCAGATTGAAATCAATCCTATTCAGCTTATGAAAGTTGCGACCGACATAAATGGCGAATTCATAAACAAGGGACACCTCGAAATACAGTGCAGCATGAAAAGAACCCCACACTTCGAAGTAACACTAGGCCTCTCTCTAAACGTTGTGTATGGATTCATGGCATGTAATACGAAGGATGAAAACTAGCTTCCTGTTAAATAAGCTGAAAAATGTAGTTCGAAATATTCCCCTTAAAAATCAAATGCATATAACAAATAGGAAATAATGGGATATTTCAAGATAAGATTTAAGTTCGATATTTAAAAATTTGAAGTGTACAGAATAACTTACTTCTTTTAATTCAGTTAATGAATCAGTATCTAAATTCCATGATGAATATACATCTCCAGAATCACCTTTATAGGTTAATCCAATGTTTTCTTTATCTTTCTTGTTCAACTCAGAAGAATTACGCAGTGTAGTCAACGCCTCTTGAAATCTGATACGTAAACCTCTTGGAGCAGTAAGATCTGACCAAATCCGTTCAAGTTCACAACGCATTCTTTCTTCTTCAGCGCTTATAGTGAATCCACAACGTCTATGCACCTCTTGGTGTTTTAAAACCTTAAAAAATATACATATATATATTTATGTAAATCGAAAATGAGAGCGGAAAATGACTCATTATTAATTAATTTTAGAAATATGTAACACGGAAACTGCCAAAGAAGACTATAATTACTTTGTGGGTATATTCAATAATCATGGTTAGAAAGCGTGTTGACTACTTTCCATAAACACGCAGATATAAGTACGTGAAAACCATAATTATAACATGGTGATCAAAATTATAACACAGAAGTGCAACAGTACACGTTGTCACACTCACACAGAGGTACAAAAAAGGAAGGAAAAGGAGATTCAAAAGGACTATAATGACCAGAAACCTGCCGGGAAAAGAATAGTGACATGGAATCTGAGAGATTACAAGGAGTCTAACTGTAAGTCTTCCAACCATAAGGTATTGGGTTCGATTTCCAATGGAAGCGCGTTTATGAAGAGTCTCAAACTAGGGCGAAACAGTCTCCAGTACTGTACTTCATGGTTTTCCAATGGTTCTCTAACTGATTTTCAGGATAACAACAAAAGTATTTTCTAGATGACAGTCAAAAAGACTTTCATGAACGATTTAGTAATATAGACACCTGACGTTAATGTTGGCGAACATTCAATAGTTTGTTCGAAATGGTCTCCATTTGGCTTGGGACAAGAAGGCTGTCATCGCTTAATTGTGTACTGCTGGTAGAAGATTGGAGAAACACAACCAGAAGTATTGTTGTATATTATATTAACGTTTATTTACAGACCTTGGCAGTGAGATTAACGATTGTAAATCTGTTTTGTTATCGCTTGAAAAATAAACAATCGTGTTGCCCAACTGTTTTCTGTTGTTCTCCATCGGTCACACAGTGCATAGTGTTCTACGTATTGAGCTTAGTCTTCTGAAACCAGCGATAGGTCCAAGATCTCTGAGATCTGGATATTTCACACCTGTTATGTAGATACGTTAACTCCATTTAAAGGCTGATCAGTTCAGTGACAATAAGTGAGTTCATCAATATATGGCTAATATACATGCTAGTGTACACATAAGTCTCTAATATTCAGAATGAACAGTTATGTCAATTTTTGTGTATGACATCCATCTAAAGCAAAATTCACCTAATAGCAAGTATAATAATAATAATTTTAAGTGTTACGGTGATCGACTTACTTTTAAAACTCTGTGGCTTAATTCTATTTGTTTACGTTTCAATTGAATAAGCCTTTGTGACATACCCAATTGACCAGTACGCAGTTTGGTCACTAATTCAGTAATATGCTGGAAAAGAAGAATACAATATACAAATATTGTAATATATAAAAACATAATTAAGAATAAATGCGTAGACAAAACTTTCTTGAAAACCAAATAGATTACTCATGAGTATTGCGAAGACGTTATTTCACAGTGAAATAAAGTGTATATAAGTGAAAAAAGTATAAATGGGAGGACTCATATAACAATTTGCATACATTTACAAAAGCATTAGACAAATCCACAAGTGGTTTATAAAATAAACTACTAACTACAGAAAATGTTCATTCAGTAAGCTGACTTGATACATAAAACGATGAGAAATCGAACTCTGACTACTTGCACGGCTGGTGAGCATTCTACTCCTAAAATACTATAAACCGAGTGAATAAATTATTGCACAGCTCAACGATCAGTTGTGGGGATATAATATTTCAAAATGACACAAAATAGCTTATTACGATTTTTCTAATTGGTTGGGGATTTCATCATGAGCTGACATTGGTTAAAGAACCACTGGAAAACCTGGAAGTACTGAAAATCTGTTTTGTCCTAGTTTGGGACTCTTCATCAGTACGCACCCACCGCGAGGGTTCGAACCCACGACCTTCTTGTTACAAGGCGAACTAGCTTGTAGACCATTAAGCAACTGGAACCCGATCCAAAGGCCTATGAATTCTAACCTGCCAATCCATGACACAGTACGCCCGCTTCGCAATATCTTCTTCGATGAGTTACTGCCTCACCTTCACCCTGCTGTACTCTACTGGCCACGGTTTCCCACTAGAACCCCAGGTAACTGTGTGAATAGGGACAGTCGCTAGTGAGCACCAGATCAATTTTCAATTATTGGTTTTGTAGGGATTTTGTTCGATTGGTTGGAGGATTTCATCATGAGCTGACAGTGCTTTGACAGAACTTAGAGGACGCGTAAAATGAAGCTTAAAGTACTAAAAACAAAGCCTACTCACTAAATAACTAGAAGAAAAAACAATTCAGTATTAAAACCAAACTTACTTTAATCATGCCATTCTGTTGTTCCCCATAAGCGAGTTGATCACACTTACGTCTTCTCAAATCAGAAAATCCAATAAATGGAATAGGAATCATACTATCCGGACGGGGATTGTCAAGACAAGCCTAAGTAGTGTGTTTTTTCAACGCCATTCATAAGAAACGAAAAGAGGGAAAATTAATATTTAATGTATAGAAACAGAATACATATTTTAAATTGGTGTATTGGTCAACGTAAATGATCTCTATTCACAAACCAGACTTCCACACAAACCGTGTGAACTTATCACTTAAATATTGTTAACTAGGTACTTGCTAAGTCAGCAATGAGTGATATTCATTACTTTTAATTAAACTACCTTTACGGACAGTATTCATAAGCACAAAAGTGACAATTCTCCCACCATAACACTGGATTGCGCAGGTTAGCATCCCAGAAGTTGAAAATATGCATCACTGATAGGTGCGCCAATAAGTACTAAACCTATGTCCAAGGTATTTCGCAAATTGCTTCCATCAACCTAACATCAATTCAATGTGACAATTCCCAAGATATAGAGAGATTAATAATCTAGGCTATAAGACTGATATGATTAATGAAACGATGGATGCCAAAATCATAATGAGTATGTGAACGGGGATTTAAACCAATGGATCAACACACCAGCAGCAGCAATCCCACATTCAGGAAAATTGAAGAAAAATACCTCATGGACGTCTTTCAAAAGAATGGATATCCACGGAATTTCATCAAAAGACATATAACCCCAAGCCAACCTATCAAACCAACGTCGTACACAAACCAACAAAGTCACTTCACTCAATTCTATGTCAACCAAAAGACACAACAGCGAAAAAAGATAAAAACAACATCATCTACAAAATAAATTGTAACAACTGAGAAAAACACTACGTTGGCTAAAGTGGACGCCCCTTCGTTTTCGTATCCACGAACATAAGCTAGCCGTCAAAAGACATGATATCCACTCCCTCATATCACTACATACAGACAACCACGGACATCAATTCGACTGGGACAACGTTCAAATATTAGACAGAGGAAACAACAAGAATGCTAGAGAATTTTTAGAAGCTTGGCATTTCAATGAATCATCAATCAATAGACACATCGAGATAGACAAAATTTATCAACCGATAAGAAAGCAACTTCACACGCAAAGAGTCAAAGTTCAAGTCAAAGAAACAACCGCTTCCAATGCAAGTAACCTAGAAGGTGTGAAAACACACACAAACAACCAATCACGTCCAAGGTCACCAGGAGAGATGATTGATAAACTTGTGGAGAAATCTGAAAGCTCACTTCAAACTGAAGTATGCGCTGAAGATGTCGCCTAGTAAGGCCATGAAAGCTTCGCAAATTAACTATCCAACTCAGAGAACACAACCACCTCAAAGAGAATATGTAAAAAGTAAAAGTACAAATAACAACAATAATTCAATTCAAATATTCTACACAAGCTTTTCTTATATACTGGACTATAAGCTACACCTAATGTACGTGTGTGTGTATGACACTACCCGTTTTATCCGGATCAAGGTAAGTACGAGAAGGTGGATTTTAATCAGAAACTCATCATCAGTTCACCTACTACTGCGGAGTCAGATACATCGGTCGTCCGACGCGCATCCTGTCCAAAAGGATTCAAGAACGCTATCCAGCCAGTGTGGTTGCGAAAAGGTAATAGTGGTGCAATAAGGAGTGCGACAGTTCAACTCCTGGTTAGCACTGATCATTCCATATCAACAAACGCCTCCTTCAAAGTAATCTACAGAGTCAGGAATAACCTACCAAAGGCAATACGGTTTCGTCTTCTTTGTATCGGTGAAGCTTTGGCCATTCACATAGATAAACCGGAGCTGTGCAAATAAAAGAGAATTACTCAACCACTTCTACTGTCATGGTAACAACTTTTTTGATTTTGATGACTTAATTTTGCCTCTTTGCCTGTTCGTTAATTGCTTATAATTCTTGTATTCATTTAGAACTCTTACGTAATTTCGTATTCTGTACTTTGTTCCTATGTGTATCCTGAGTAAAACTCACTCATCAAACTATTCATATTATTACAAAACTTCTTTAACAACTGTTTGTGACAACTCATCACCTTTGTTAGTACACTAACTTGATTAACACCTAATTTTCTTGACTGATTTTGTATTGCGTAACTCTACCAAAATTTACGCATTTTCACCTGTTTAGTTAAAATAACCATAACCAATTGTAATTTTGTTTGACAAACTTAATGTACACATACAAAATGCGTCGGTGGCATAGCGGTTAGTACGCTTGCCGACCATGCACATGGTCCGGGTTCAATTCCCGGCCGACGCACTCCTTTACCTCGCTAAGCCAGAAATAATCCTGTTAAAGAGGAAAGGATGGGCATGAGGCTAGCAACCCCATCATGTAAAAAAATTAAATGCTGCTACAGAAACTTCAAGCCACTAGCTTGAGGCCCTGTGTTCCACTGGGGAACGTGAAGGAAGAAAAATAACATATATATTTGCTATTGTACAGCTAAGAAAATGAATTCACCGAAAAGAGACTCCTCGCTGATCTACGTGTTTTGTTTTCATTTACAAAAATACTCCTAAGGGGTTAAAATTTCAAATAAAATGAGAATGCAATTCACACTGCTTATGTCTCTTACTGTAAATGTGCCAATCTCAAATATACGCACAAAAATGAAGTAGTTTTTGCTTTAAATGAGCATAACTCAATGGTACTGCATTTATGTCCACTCAAACAAAAACACAGAAAATCCGATTATAAATATTTAACACTAAAAGGACTTCAGATTATCTATCAAATAAAGTGTAGTAATCTGTTCTGCTTTGTGGCTCTGATATGTCGACACATACATAAGTGCGTCAGTGGCACAGCAGTTAGGACTCTCGCCAGCCATGCGCATGGTCCGGGGTCCGATCCCCTGCCGAAGCACACCTGATATCAATGGTTGGCCTGCAAAATTTGGGCTACCCATATCACATGCTGAAAATTTGATACTTTTACCAAAAATACGGTGTGCAATCAAGCTATAATCAAAATATTAAATAAATAAGTAAAAGAAGAAACTTAAGCGGATTTAAAAGTGTCGCTTGTATATAATGGGAATGGTGTGTGGTGTTCAACTTAAACCTAAAGTGCTAGTTAAGGAAGTCAGTTGAGTCAATGAGGATGGATGGGAAAATTCAATGACTGTACAGTGTTTGAAACGTATGTTTTGCATGCTGACTTAACCATTTTTTGTTAGAAATGTCAGAAGTGGGACTGCTTGAGTTAAATTCTTAGTAATCAGAAGAAAGAGGTTAATAGTTTGTAAATTAACTAATCATCAGAACCATATGGGGAAATAGTGCGTTGGTGGCACAGCGGTTAGCATGCTCGCCGACCATCCACATGGTCCGGGGTTCGATCACTGGCCGATGCACTCCTTTACCTCACTTATCCAGTAATAAAACTGGTAAAGAGGGAAGGTTGGGCATGAGGCTAGCAACCCCATCCTGTGAAAATAAACACTGCTACAGAAACTTCAAGCCTCCAGCTTGGAGCCCTATGTTCCACTGAGAACGTGAAAGAAATAAAACAAATATGAGGAAATACAGGAATTAATAGATACACATCCTTGATAACCTGAATCGAAATCCACTCCAATAAACAGCTTTTACAAAACAATTTAGTACAACCTCTCTAACCATTTATATGAAATAGATAAACGTAGAATTCCAGGGAAAACAAAAAGTCATCATGACTAGCAGCAAGATGATAACAGAAAATAACCCTATAGGGTGTAAAAGAAAAAAAGCCCTACTACAAACGTTGCCGCCCGGTTACAAGTTTACCTGTTGCCAAATAAGTCTATCAAAACCAGCTGGTGGATTCTCATTATAAGCAATTATCTGTGCTGCAGAAGGAGATATTTCTGGAATTAAACGATTTACGCATAACTGCGATTGAAGTTGCGGTGCAACTGATGGACTCGTTAAGTATTTTGAAAGTTCACTGGCAGATATGTTTGATATTGTACCTGAGAGTGAAAAAAAGAGAACGATGACATAAAGTATACCTTTAGATGACAAAATAAAATAGATGCAACTTATAAACCACACACATGGTGAGAAAATAAACAAGAGAGAGTCTCAAATCAACAAGTATTTAAAATTAAATAAACTAAGGGGTGATTTTGAAAAGCAGTATGTAAGCCTGACTTCTGGAATTCCTAGATTTATTTGAATATTACAAGTTCTGCAATTCCATATTACTCTCCACAGTTTAAGCATCTTGTTCGAATACTTTAGACTATTTTCAGCTGCTAATTAACTATGACACGTAATGATTCCAACTTAGTTGATGGTAACTAGCAGGAAAATCCAGGATGCGTATTTGAAAATTGTCAACTAGATGAACCTGTATTCCCCACTAGATTGATCTTGTTCCCACTGGGACTCAAACCCTGCATCCATCCTTTCAAACGCCAAAGCATTACTTACTAAATCATGAGGGCGATGAGAGCTAGACATTTGTAAAAAATTATATTTGTAAAATCTCAGCGATATTGAAATGAGTAATTCCAACGTTTCGTTCGGCAATCTGGTCCGAACTTCTCAGGGAAATTAATCGAAATTAACATAACAGAGGTTTATATATAAAAGGAACATCTCTTATTTTTAAAAACTTTGTCCAATCATGAGTCATGAGAGCTACCTCTTGTGCGATGGGTGTCAGTTCCTTGTTTTTAACGTAATTGACATCCCCCGAAATGCTCGGTCTCTGTTGCGAATCTTGAATTCGACTGCCAAGTACTGTCAATAAAAATGACTTCATGTTAATCCTAAGACGTCGTCAAAGCGTCAGTACTAAGAGCCGACATGCCAACAGAGATCAAGCATTTAGCTTCAGCATAATCAATCAATGAGCAGTGCAAATTAACCTAAAGACAAGTGAATCCTTTTTAACTAAGAAAACTCATTATCCTCGCCAGTTCTAAACTAGTAATAGATTCGTTAAACATTAAATTCTTCATGTCTTGTATCAACAGTCACATGTGAGCAATGGTAAAAAATGACTGGGCTGAACAGAAACAGACTGGCTTGTAACTTAGTAGCTCATAATTCAATGATAACAGTTTCTCCCTGGTTAACCAAATTAAACTGGCATTTAACAGAAAGTTACAGCATTATGAACAATACGTATACAAAGAATTCAGCTTTTCTAATGTATTCGTTTCGGAAATAGCCAGGCTGAGTATCAAATTGGTGGTTATATTTTAACTGTCAAAATATCAGCAAACCCAAGATAGTATATGTATGCATGGAAAAATAGATTAGATCCTAAATTTCAAGAACAGGCAGCGAACGTCATCAACAGACACCTCTGAAGTAACTAATACAGTTCTAAAGAACATTTCCACTGCTTCGGTTAAATTTCTCTGTTCAGTCATCATAGTCGTAATTTATTAAACACTACTTAGACGAAAAAATGACCCCTAGGAATGAATCCACTTCAAACAGCTAAACATCAGCAACGGAAAACTACTCCATTAGTTGTACCAAATAGAACTAATGCTCCGAAGTAATCAGTGATCAAACTTTTCAACTTGTAACGCACCCTATAATCTCAACGTTACAGAATGGAATAAGCCTTTCATGAAAAAAAACAACCAGTCTTCACAAAAGTGACAATAATAACTTGACACGTACCACTAACTCTTTGAGTTGGCTAAATCAGTAAAATTATCGGTTCATTTACCAGTCCCATGACATTATTTTATATGATAAGGTTAAAACAATCAAACGTCATGCACTCTAGAGACAACTAACTGGAAGAAAATTTATAGAGTGAAGGGATAAGTGTTGAAATAAGCATCCACGTTGTGTTAAAAAAACACTCCATTTTTCACTAATATGCCTTTATGAAACCCTTTTGTTGGTAAATAATAATAGCAAACCTACGAAACCTGAAGGTGGAGCTATAACCATTAAAAAAATTGGCAAAAAGGCTCCGTGGAATGTTATTTTTCCAGACTAACAGAAAAAGTATGCTACACTGAAGACAGTAACTGATATGTTAACAGCCGCAATAGCACATAAAAGAAAACTAGCTAACTTGCGCTACAGACAATTACAGACAAAATATCATGCTAAAAAGATATTCTCAATATAAAACAAAGTCATCTTAAACAAAGACGATACATCAATACTATAAACTATGCCAAACAAGTTAAATGAGAGGAATTTACCTGTAGCCAGCCGTTCTGTAACTTTTAATATAACTTCAGTGACCCCCTCGGCCTCAGCACATGGACGTATTTCTTCAACTACAAGTTGTAAATTAGGACGGCCACCTAACAGTCTGAATAAAGTATCTTGCACACCTTGACGCTGACTAGAGACTTCAGAGAATGGACGAGCGATAAAGAGACACACAAGTCCATCTGCATCTGTACTTGTAGGCAATACATTATATCCGATAGATTTTAGGCGAGCAAAAGTATTCTCAGGGGTATAATTGACCACACCCATTGCACTGTAACCAATACCTGTACCCCACATTGCTTGTAATTGATTCCAGCGCGCGATAATTGAATCACGTTCATCTCCAAATAGCATAGGTTGTGATAGGGAAGCAAAAAAGGCATCAACTGTGTTCTGTTGTGCTACTTGTTGCTGTTGTTGTTGCTGCTGCTGTTGTTGTTGTGTATTTGTAGTAATATTTTGACCAAAACCGAAAGTTTGTGCTGTTACAAAATAAACAATATTGCAATGTGAAGAGAAAATTCGAAACCTATATTTACTTATCTTGAATAGAGGTAGATGTGCCGAGTAGTATTACATGTTGCCTATAAGTGAATGATGAAGGGACTAACATGTAACAAAGTAAATTACTTTTAAATCAATTATGTTAACATGCTACCTTGTCAAGCACATTTTATACTTCATACTCCTTGTTCATGTAAAATAAACTCAATATTAACTCCTAATAACTAAACTGAGTAGTTAATCCAGTTCATTAGAACGATAGAGAAGAACCACTACCCTGAAGCATGACGTATGGTGTTGTTAAAGCTCATAGGTCAGCACATCCTATTAGACCTACAGTTAATTTTAGAAATTCACCCACCTAAGAATTGTCTGAATATTTAGCTATGGTATTAAATTTGCTTAGAAGCCACTCAAAATCTAAACTAACAAATTCCTATGAACTAAAACACAGATTAGATAATGTAAACTTAGATAGTGAGGAGAAGATGGTTAGTTTCGACATCATCAGTTTATATACACGTATACCAATAAATATGGCTGTAAACGAACTCAAGAACTTTAATTTAGAATGAAAATGCCACTTGAGGACATAATGCTAAGAGTGTAGATATGCCTGAATTCCACAATATTTAAATTTCAAGTGAAAATATACAAACTGAGGGGTTTGCCATAAGGTCACAAATTGTGGCAGGTATACTCATGGATAGGTGGGAAAACTTAGTCACTGAAACATTCGGCCCTACTCGAAAATAATGGTGTGTAGATGACACACTCACCGTAGTTAGAACACAGGACAGAAATAGATTTTTCGAACACACTGACTTAAAGGTAGAGGCTATTCAATTTACTTATGAAATTGGAAAGTCAGGAAGGGGAGCTTCTAATGTTAGATTGTAGTGTAAAAAGGAAAGAAGATAGGAAGTTAAACAGTGTTTACAGGAAACCCATACATCTAAACTGATATTTGGATTTCCGAATACCGCATCTTGTCACTAAAAATAGGATTGGTGAAATGTTTAAGTAGTAGGGCGCAAAAACTAAACATCACCAAGGAAAATCTAAGACAGGAAGTGAGGCATGGAAGAGAAGCTTTGGAACTTAATAATCAACTTGATAAATTAATCAGGAAGTATGTAGGAAAATGTAAAAATAAAGTAAATAATAATAGTAGTGATAGTGATAATAATAATAACATTAATGACGACATGTATGTTAAACATGCACAGGATAATGACGACAACAGGGAATATAAATCATCAGTAGTACTTCTATACAAAGAGTGAACCTCGGAAACCTTAAGGAAAATTTTTAACAGTGTTGGAATAAAAGTGGCATTCAAGCCCACAAACTCAACTAAAACTAGCTTTGTCGGTTAAAGGATCCTGTGGAGCCAAATAAACAATTTAGTTCATCAATGATTGTCAGGTCAGATACATAGACCATAGTAGTAGAACGGGGTCAGTCAGACTAGTGCAGCACAAAAATCTGGTGAAATCTAGATCAGTTGACTCTAATAGGATAAGAAATCTGGAGAATAGTTCAACCATATATCACTACATGCAGTTAAACACAACCATACAATAGGATGGGACACCAGTTTTAGAATGTAATATAACAGGTGTTGTGAACTTTTCTTATAATACGTATCTAGTCATATTCATATCTCTACCGCTATTAACACTCTTTTTTTCCTTTATATGTTTAAGCCATTCCGGCTTCATTGTAAAATGAATAAAGCCTAAATTCTTGGTTCATTCGTCTTTTCAAGATTCAAGCATCACTCATCGTTCTAAGACTCAATCACCTTCGTAACAATTTATTCATTTTACAATATTCATGGAACGATTTTTCCGACCTGATCGGTTCGACGTAGAACCTAACGCAGTTGGAGCTGCCAAGAAGTGGGATCACTGGTTTGCGACTTTCTCCTACTTCATTGAATCAATGGGATCCGAAAATCCTTCGAAACTACATATTCTCTTCAATCATATTTCTACTTCTGTATACGAATGCATTTCTGAATGCAAAACATACGAAGAAGCTATCGACACTCTCAAGAGTCTCTACATGCAGCCTTGCAACGAAGTGTTTGCTCGACACTTGTTAGCAACGTGTAAACAAGAATCTGGCGAAAATCTGGATCAGTTTGTTCGTCGACTCAAGTCGCTGACTACAGATTGTTCATTCAGGGCAGTTACAGCCGAAGAACATCGTAACGAATCTCTACGTGATTCATTCATCTCAGGTATACAGTCTTCGATGATACGCCAGAGGCTATTAGAACAGCGTACTTTAACTTTTCAAGCGGCATACGATCAAGCACGAGCTCTAGAGATGGCACATCAACAATCGCAGTCATACAACAATCCTGTTACACCTTGCGCGTCCATTTCTTTACATGATGTACCTCATTCATCAGATTCCACACCCTCCGTCAATGAAACAACCATTGCTGCCGTTGAATCCAAATGCTTTTTCTGTGGTAATCGTAGACATCCTCGTTCCAAATGCCCCGCCCGTGATGCAGTTTGCAAAGCTTGTGGCAAGCAAGGACATTTTCAGAAGGTTTGCAGGTCTGCGCCATCTACGAAAAAAGGTCCATCTTCAGTTAACTCTATAATTTCATCTCTCGTTGTGGCTTCAGCACCTCAAAGTCTCACTGATGCTGTTACGCAGCTTACTGTCAATGGGAAATCAATGCAAGCTCTAGTGGATACCGGAAGCAGTGAGAGCTACATCTCTTCCTCAGTTGTTCGTAAGTATAACTGGAAAGTCCATAAGTCTCGAAACAGAATCACAATGGCGAGTACGAATCTTACTAGTCATACTGAAGGACATTGTTTTCTATCCATCTGCTATAAAAACCACACTTATGATCTATTCAAATTTTCCATTCTTCATAATTTATGTGCAGACGTCCTTCTTGGACATGATTTTTTAAAACTTCACAAACACATTGAGATTCCTTTTGGGGGATCAAAGCCGCCTTTTTCTCTCTGTGGTCTACCTTGTGTTCGCGTCGACCTGCCTACCCTGTTTGAAAATCTTTCAAAAGACTGTAAACCGATCGCGATAAAATCCCGGCGTTATTCTCGTGAAGATGAAAGTTTTATTTCCACCGAAGTCAACCGGTTACTGCAAGAAGGTGTTATTGAACCTTCTAATTCTCCTTGGCGAGCTCAAGTTCTTGTTACGTCAAACGAACGCCATAAAAAGAGGATGGTAGTTGATTATAGTCAGACAATCAATCGATTCACTTTTCTGGATGCTTACCCATTACCTAGGATTGACGAAATGATAGAAAAAATCGCACAATATGACATATTCAGCACTCTTGATCTGAAGAATGCTTATCATCAAATTGCCCTAAGGAACGAAGATAAACCATATACTGCTTTCGAGGCTTGTGGGAAACTTTACCAATTTTGCCGAATTCCTTTTGGTGTTACCAATGGCGTAGCTTGTTTTCAACGCATTATCGATGAATTGATCAGTAAAGAACAACTCACAAGCACGTTTGCCTACATTGACAATGTCACTATCTGCGGCAAAACTCAGGAGGAACACGACAAAAATCTAAACAAGTTTATGGTAGCAGCACGCAATTATGGAATAACCCTTAATGATTCCAAAAGTGTGATCTCAAGCAGAAGCATACAATTACTCGGTTATGAAGTTTCAAAGGGGGTTATTAAACCAGATCCCGATCGGCTAAAACCTCTTCGTGATCTAGAACCACCCACAGATATCAAATCTCAACAACGGGCCGTTGGATTATTTGCTTATTATTCACAGTGGATCCCTCGCTTCTCAGATAAAATCCACCCATTGGTAAATAATCGGATTTTCCCTCTTGATATCGAAACTCGAAATGCTTTTGACAAACTGAAAGACGACTTAGAACGTGCAGTCGTTGTGGTAGTTGATCCGAAAGCACCCCTTGTTGTTGAAACAGATGCTTCAGATGTCTCAATTGCAGCTACATTAAACCAGAATGGTAAACCTGTCGCCTTCTTTTCTCGAAGCCTCTCTCGAAGTGAGAAACATCATTCATCGGTTGAGAAAGAAGCCTATGCCGTGGTTGAAGCAATTCGTAAGTGGAAGCATTACCTTCTCGGAAATCACTTCAAACTTGTCACTGATCAACGTTCAGTAGCATTCATGTTTGACAAGATTCATAAAGGCAAAATCAAGAACGATAAAATAATGCGTTGGAGAATTGAGCTATCCCCTTATCAATATGACATCATTTATCGTCCTGGAAGGGATAATCAAGCTGCTGATACATTTTCCCGTAGTTTCTGCGGTTCCTTGCAGTCAGTGTGCGACTTGAAATTTCTCCATGACTCTATGTGCCATCCTGGAGTTGTCCGAATGATGCATTTTGTACGCTCGAGAAACCTTCCATTCTCCCTTGACGAGGTGCGCAATGTAACCAGTAAATGCGTGACATGCTGTGAGTTAAAGCCTCAATTTTACAATCCCTCTAATTTCAAACTCATAAAAGCAACCCAACCTTTTGAAAGGTTAAGCATCGACTTTAAAGGACCTCTACCGTCAGCTAGCCGCAATCACTATCTGCTCACGCTGATCGATGAATATTCTCGATTCCCCTTTGCATTCGCCTGCCCCGACATGTCGTCTCAAACGGTAATGAATTGCCTTTGCCAACTGTTTTCGATTTTCGGTATGCCTTCTTACATACATACCGACAGAGGCGCTGCTTTCATGTCTACCGAATTACGGGCATTTCTTCTGGAGAAAGGCGTAGCAACCAGTCGTACTACCTCATACAATCCTCAAGCCAATGGGCAGGTCGAGCGCCTCAATGGAACACTTTGGCGTGCCATCACTCTAGCATTAAGATCACGGGGCCTACCAACGGCACAATGGGAGTCTGTTCTACTCGACGCCTTGCATTCCATCAGATCTTTGCTCTGTACTGCAACGAACGCCACGCCACACGAACGACTGTTTACCTATAACCGAAGATCGACATCTGGGACAACTCTTCCTACTTGGCTCACTGTACCAGGACCAGTACTTCTCCGGCGGAGTGTTCGTCAGTCCAAATTCGATCCCCTGGTTGAAGAGGTGGAGCTATTGAATTGTAACCCGCAATTCGCTCACGTTCGCTTCGGTAATGGACGTGAAGATACAGTTGCTCTTCATCATCTGGCACCCAAAGGCGAAGATATAGATCAAGTTGAAAATTCAATACCGGAGGGCGACGCAATTCCTGAGCAACAAGTAAATGGGGATGCGACCACTGATCCTAATATTCTTCGTGAAGAAAATACAACTGAAACGAACAACGGGCGTATTCTTTTGGAAAAACAACAACGTGTACGGCCTTACAATTTGCGTACCAGAGAAGCGTGACATAATGGCTCATTCCTTTTCAAGCCGCAGTGAATGTTGTGAACTTTTCTTATAATACGTATCTAGTCATATTCATATCTCTACCGCTATTAACACTCTTTTTTTCCTTTATATGTTTAAGCCATTCCGGCTTCATTGTAAAATGAATAAAGCCTAAATTCTTGGTTCATTCGTCTTTTCAAGATTCAAGCATCACTCATCGTTCTAAGACTCAATCACCTTCGTAACAACAGGGTGGAGGGAGAGATTGGCAACGGAAGCTTTGTTTATCGAATCAACTGAAAATACGTGTAATAGGAATAGTTCCGCACCTGTCCCAAATATCTGGAAAATTCTACCACCCCTATACCACGAATAAGAGAGAACAAAGAAAACTATAAAAATCAAGCTTTGAAGTCGTGTGATTGTGATTGATATCCTTATGAACAATAAATTTTGTTCGAAACGTCATCCGGTAATTAGTACTGTTTCACTGTGTGACATATCTAATGAACAAATTAATATGGAATTACGTATACCAAAGTGCCCAAGTTTTACACATTAATTTGACAGAAAAAACCTCGGATGAGAATGACACAGTAAAAGTCCTCAAAGTGATACAAACCATTACTTATCAAGAGAATATGGCTAATGACGTCAGGAGCAGAGTATTAACAACTAGCAATTTACTCGACCGATATGATAAAATCGTAATTCTGTTAAACTCGTACCTATAACACCATTAGTTTGTCGAAATATCTACGGTTTGTTAATTTAAGCATGATTTGAATGCGTGCTCCAGTAACTGAAAGCTAGTTTTTTTTAAATACTATTAATATTTTTGGGTTGCCAATGACTAGCTGAGTTTCAACATAGAACTTTGAGCAGAAGTGTAGCAATTCAAGTTCCCACACATAAAAGTAACGAGAAAGAAAAAAATCCAAGAGAAAAAACCTAATGACCAGAGATGTACGGGAGGAAGAACAACTACATGGAGAGACATGAGGGTTTAATAGACCTGGGAGACTACACTAAGTGAATGCAACTGTGTTACTGAGAACAAATGAACCACAACTTTGAATATCTACGGTACTCCTTTTTTGTCTAAAACCAATTTGTTTGCTTACACAATAGCGTTTTCACAGATGACACCCAAATCCTTACATGTGGCATTTATTCGTTCAGTATCAATTAAACTTGATGAAGCACATAATACAATAAACTTTTAAGGTAAATTTAAAGAATCTAATAAGTTGATTAAAAGACTACCCAAAGCTACTAACAAACAATACCTACTTTTAGGAGGATTAAACAGACCCTGTGTTGGTTGTGTAAAACTGAAGGCAGTATTTTGATTTGTTTGCTGACCAAACTGTGAACCAAATCCACTGAAACCCTGCTGTGTGGTAGCAGGAGTTGTGAATGTAGAACCAAACAATCCAACAGTTGTTTTGGGGGTATTTACATTAAACCCTTGGAAAGGAGATGGATTCTGTCCAAATCCAGTGAGCGTCGTATTAGTTGTGTTTAAGGCTGGTGCTTGAAACAGACCAGTACTCTGAGTAGTAGCGGTAGATCCAAAACCGAAACCTCCAAACGGCGCTGTAGTTGTAGAGGCTGCTGGCTGTGCATTGAAACCAAAGGCTGGAGTAACACTACTAGTAGTTGTTGGTTGTGAAAACCCAAACAGTTTAGAACCTCCAAACAAACTCATCTAGAAAGTAAGCAAAAACAATGAAAGTAAATTGTATGCTAGATTCAGTTTTACTTCGATAAATTGATTGAGTTTACACTTAAAAGGAAGCAAATAATTATTCATTGTGGTCACTACATCTAGATACCGAATTCTTTTAAATACTAATTGTGAAAACCATGCCGAGATCACTATACTTCTCTGACGTCTGTCTGTCTGTCTGTTTTCGACATAGAACTTTGCACAAATGTGCGGAAGTTCAAGTCGCCACATTCCGTGTAGCACGCGAAGCAAGAGAAGAAAGTACAAGAAAAGCATAATAGAAACAGTGAGCAGAGGTGTGAGACAAAGGAGTAATAAAGAAATACAAAACAGTTTCATTGAAGATCATAAGTCACAAGGAGTGGATGCATCTGCGCCACTTCTCTGACGAGTTTGTACTAAGTTATTTGTGACTGGATATATGCAAAAAGAATGAAAGTATGACTGGTTTTTCCACTTTTTGGTAGGTGGATGTTGATTATGTCAGTTGATTGCATAATCTCCCAATGACTGAGCTGTTTTTAACTGTATTAATTTCAATCTTGTCACTGAACAAACCACCCGTTAAGCTAGTACTAATTATTATCTTTCTGGTTTCCTTCTTCCATTCTGACTTAGCTACTCTTTATGAACTCTCTATTCTGAAGTATATACAAATCAGGGCAGAAAAAAATGTTCTGGACTTTTGACTCTCTAATATAAAATAAGTTCTCTGCTGATGTGTGAACTTTCTAAGTGCGTTACTTCCACATTGTTATATGACCATAGTAATTTCCACAGCTGATGAGAACCCGTGGATTAAATTGCACCAACCATTTTATGCTCTACATCTGGTCTGTTTCGCTCTATCAAAACAATGAAACTGTATTTTAGTTGTCAACCATTCAATAATTAAACTTCACAAACTATAAAACAACATAAATAGCTATTGCACACTTCAGCGGGAGAGGAAAAACAACTTGGTGACCTATTTGAAAAAACTTCATAGTTGGTGGTAAGAACTTTTTAGTTAAGCTAAACTATTAACTTGAAACTATTCAGAAAAAATGTTTCAGATTTGTATCTACAATAGGACTGTAATTCATTAACGTTTGATATTGATTTTCAACCAGTAAAATACGAGTCCATCGAGGTTTGGGAAGAGAGGTGGTAGTACTGACCGTTATGGTGAAATTGATAAAATTATTTAATATTTTTCGGCATCAGTGGTTGACCTTCCTTATGTATGAAAAGACGGTGACAGTCATAAGGGAATCAGTCCAACGAAAATTCCACAGTTAACAGTCATTAAATTGTTAGGAAATTCCAGACTTAAAACCGCCAAAGACTTCTGGTACATACATAAGCAAGCAGTATCACGCCTGTATAAGTTATTAAGTTTCTCAACGCGAATATAATTACCAGAAGACAATCCTAACACCATTTGGTAACTTGAATATGGTTTTCGGCTGCACTAATCAATGGATTTGGAGAGGCACAAATAAGTAAACTATTTGTCAAAACCCATCTACTCATGTTAAGGTTCCCAAAAATCTCTTAGTAGTTTGGGTTTTAAAAATATCTAAAATCAATTTTCCCCTAATTGTTACACATTTACTACCAGATATGAAAGACCAAATAGCCTGAATGCATTCTTTAGATCACATCGTGGGCAAAAAGATATAATCGCGATGCTCATAGACCCAATTAATCCCATCTGTTCGTTTAGACTAGATGGGGACATCTTAGAGGATATGTGAGGAGAGTTAAAAAGCTACAAATGAACAATATCGGTGAGTACTGGGGTGCCAAACGAGTCATCAGAACTCAGGTGTCTGTACTCATATATGGTGTAGACTTCCAGGCTGGGGTCCTCGGGACGGTAAAAACCAATGGTTGGAAACAATTGGTGACATGGCTCAAAATCGTTCTCAGTGGCGCAGATGCATCCACTCCTTGTGACTTATGATCTTCAATGAAACTGTTTTGTATTTCTTTATTACTCCTTTGTCTCACACCTCTGCTCACTGTTTCTATTATGCTTTTCTTGTACTTTCTTCTCTTGCTTCGCGTGCTACACGGAATGTGGCGACTTGAACTTCCGCACATTTGTGCAAAGTTCTATGTCGAAAACAGACAGACAGACAGACTCATATATGAGTCATTTAAGAGGGGAACACGAAATAAGAATAAACAAAGGCTCTAATAACTATTCTCTACTTACAGTATGAGAACAAATTCGGTCTATTTATTTTCTCTTCGTATAAGAAATCACTTATGTCAAGGACCATTCCTATGTACTTAATTCGAAGCCATTTCATCACGTACGTTTCTTGTGAGCAAGGACTGGGTACTTGGGTTCACTTCATCAGTTAGAACCTCACCAGTCTTTAAGCAGTGAACATATAACAGTAATCCTAGAATATCTCGGGGAAAAAACTTCGGAACTCATCACACTTATCTTTTTATTGTAGCTTGACTCCACAGTATTTTTGCTACAATTATGGGATTTTTAGCATGTGATATCGGTAGCTCAAATTCAGCAGGCCGACCACTGGAATCAGGTGTGCGTCGGCCGGGGACCAAACCCCGGACCATGTGCATGGTCGGCGAGCGTCTTAGTCGCTATGCCACCTACGTTCACCTGAAATATATGATATTCACAAAAGAATTCTCTTCAGCATCACGTCACTAGGCATATTCTGATATGAACGAATCAGTACCATTACCTCACCAACCAGAAACGAGGTCAAAGGAATCACTGTTTATACAAGTTCTTAAAAAGGTGATGGATTAGCGCCTTGACACTTCATAATTCGGACACTGGTTCTCACAGTTACTAGTTATACACTTCGAAAATTACTACCTTCAGACTCCAGCTAGGTAGCTTCGTTTCCGCACACTATGTAGCTTTGCCAAATCGAAATTTATGTGCATGGCGGGTAAGAATACAACCCACTTAATATTTGCGCATACACACTTTTAGAAATTTTGGTCAGAATGGCTCTCAAAACTTTGATACGTGCTATCGCTGCAACCCAACAATAGTGAATCATTACAGTGTACTGCTATGATTCATTATTGTTGTTACGGAAAGATTTGTAGTTCATGCACAAGCTAGCTACTCGAATAATAATACTATCCCACATAAACCGTATTAAAAACATTATGCGAGTGACACAATCCACTACCACTTGTCTCACAGTTTCATATATGAAACTGTATTCTGAGTCCGTTCTACTTTAACTGCCGTAGTAAAGCAGTACAACAAAAATGTATCACCAGGAAGAAATTTCGGGTGTTTCTCGTACAAAAATATAGAACACGCACGACTGGATCATACACATAATACGGAAAACATACTACACAAATACCTCACACAAACCGTGAAACGCCCAAAAGACCTTGAAAATACAAAGTGCCCTCTGCGATGAGAAAACATAAATCCATAAACTTTCAAAAATTTGAATTTCAGATTTATTCAAGGAAATTTTTGAGATCTTTATGTATATGGAGAACATTTCACTCAAATTACCCTTGTCCAAAGACCGTATTTATATGTACAGTTAAGTATTACGCCTAAGAAAAGATGCCCAATATCCAATTACTTTCTACGAATTACCGTACACCAAAATTATTACTTCAAGGTCTTTTCTTGGCTATTAGATAAGAATTCCTGATCTTCGGTAAACATTGCGCACTTTTTCTAGTTGTTGACCGCCGTACATCTAAGTGACTCAGCATGTTATGGTGAGTGAATGGATAATATATGGTCCGCGGTATGCGGTGTGTTAAGACCGTGCTACTGCCGTGTATGAAGTTAATCTTTTCGTGCGGCAGTCAGTCAGTATAGTCAGGGTGCCACGAGGAAGTTTATAGTGGTTTAATAGCAGAAGAAATTTTTTCGGTGACTTCGGTCATTTGTAACCTAGTCAGCAGTAATTATGTCACCTTGAGGCCGTTGGTAGCTAATTGTGGAGGGGACTGGTTTCCCCAACTTTTCATCGTGTAATTTGTAGTAGAGACCTATGACCCCTTTCGTCGCTCGTCTTGGAAATTTTCCGAAAGACTGGCGTCTCTTTTTAAGGACAACTCTCCTTTCTTACACTGAGGCCAAAATAACTCACATATGTGATGCTTAGTCGTCCCCGTCTTGACCTAAATCGTAGCACTGGGAGTGGGTGCGAAATATTTCCAAGTGGATTCTCAGTATTCCCCTACTCGCGGTAATAGTAAGGCTTCACAATAGAATTAAATATCTGAAAAAGGTACATAACGTCTCCTAACGACCAAATGAGGGTTTCGGCACAGATATATTCCTCTAATAATACGAAATTTCCAAGAGATAAGAGTACATTCTAGGTTAACTGAGAGACAGAACTTCAGATCAAGTTTATTTGTCGCTTTGAAGCTGAGATAAAAAGCACCTTACAGTGGGCGTATGTTTCCAGAGGTCAAACTAGAAAACAGTTTGGTTATTTCGAGATGGCTAAGGCCTTCAGGGACACCTTGAGAATAAGTTGGACAAAAGGGAAATCACCACCATACCCAGGTGACATGTAATCGAGCATATCTTCTTAGAGATTACTCTTCTCCAAACGAACCTAAATATGGTCCTCAAGAAGCTAACAAAAGCCTTCATGTGTTGTTCACAAACATGGACGAAGCTTGGAACTCTGTGTCACACGAAATCCATCCCTTGAAAGCCTTTAAAATGGGGATACGCAATCTTTCATAGTCCCAAATGGCAGCATAGCTGAAGTTTGGAAAAGTTCGTAATGGGATGAAATGAATACATTCTGCACAGAGGACAACCTTTTGAAGTATCGCGAGAATCTATTCTCTGCCCAACGATATAACTGGTCTTCTTAAATGATCCGGGTAATAGATTGTTTCGCACTCCCCCATGCTGATGGAGCCAAGTTGGGAAGGACCCAGAGGAATGAGGGACATTCGCTCAGCCCACAGAAAGTCTGAAAAATTGGTGGTCAGAAAATGGGCTCCTCATCACAGATAATGTTTGGCTATAATCATTATCAAAGTAGTAAGAAAACAAACCGCTGCTATTCATGGGATACTCTGCCCTTGACCAAACGTATTGCGCACGCTCAAGGTCACTGAAAGTATTAGGCACTTGGAGGTCCTTTCGTCCATGTTGGTCGGATATGTTGGATTGCCTTCCCCTAACCGTTTGTTCACACACTGGCTTTTACAATTTTCCTGAAGTTATTCACGACTTGCCTTGATGCAGTTTCTCCAAAAATGTCACGCTTCACCTCATTTTTGTTTGCTTTGTTGCTATAGTTAGTTATTTCGTTTGCTTTCAAAGTTTTTACCACCAAGTCAGTTCATTCATTTCATTGTATTAGTACTATGCATTAGTAATACTTTCCATTTATGCGTGGTTTAGTGCTCAAGTTGTTTTTCAGCTATTAATGAAACCGTGTTGTGTAGAAGTTTTGGAAATTATGCAAATGAACATGTTTTGGTGGCAGAATGTGTTGTTTCCAGTTCATTTACTGGTTGCCGCTATTTTTGCTGGCTCAAAGGTTACTTATTACGTAGAAACCTGAAAAAAGCAATATCTTTCACGTTCACGTTTACAGTACGAAATAATCTACGAGTCAATCTGGTGAGGAGAGTAGGGTCATAACTGATAATAGCAAGGTTCTCAAAGAACATATTAAACCCAGAGAATTTAGAACCTGCTTTGGAGTTAAAAAAGCTTCGAAGCATTTGGAGAAGGTAATTATCACATCAGTGTATCTATTCTCAGTCAAAAATCACATATATTCAGGGAGAATCTAAATTAAACAAGGTTGTGAATCTGTTGTGCTTATATGTATTTCTGGGAAAGAAAGAAACTAGAAAGCAATCAGAAACGTCTAAAGGGTAGGTCTTACCCATGTTTGCTAGTGCCTAGTGTACTAGATCCAAAAACATGAACTAAGACTGTCCGTAGTAAAGCCAATGTAAACAACCATTCAGTTTGTTGCAAAACAATTTAGAAAGTGAATAACATGCGGTGATCTGTTGAGTGAATGAACTATTATAAGGTAAAACTTTAACTAGCAAGGAAAACCTTTCTGGTTGTGGTCTGCAATTGGTGGTTTTCTCCAAGTTTCAACAAGCTGAGAAGTTGATTATCAATCCGGGAGAAGACACTGGCTGAATACAAATTGCTTGTTTCAGTTGAAGTAATGAAACTCTTATTTTCGGGATGTTTGTAATTTCTCTGGGGCTATGAATACGGATGCCCATGACTTTTAAGAAAACGTTAAATAAATTTTCCTTGAACCAATGGTCTTCTTTACCGTGGCGAAATATCTGTTGATATGACCTGGTAGCATAGTAGAATGTTCTGTGGTTGAGAATCTTAGTCGTGTTTCGGATTAATATTAGGCGTCTAACCGTTATAACCCTATGGATATAGCTTTTTCTTCATGGTTCATTACAACATCTAGAAATCATTAGAATGCTATCTTCGGTAAGCTTATTCCTACTTTTTATGTGACTACAAATAATGAGTCATTTGAGGTTATAGGATAAATACCTCTAAACGCTTTCTTGAAGATTAGGATATATGTTTTCTCGACCAGGAGACTATCTTTACACCAGGAAAGTTCTCAGGATGTATACTTTTACTTTGTAATTCAAAGATAACGTTAAGTTGCTTAGTAAGGTAGTAGCTACAGGAGACCACTTTCAGTGAAAACTATTTTAAGGTAGCTGCGTAGCTTTAGTAAAAAGTCAAATAAGTAAGCAGAGTACTTTGATTATGTCTAAATATATTGAACATTGCATAACTGGTCAAATCTTAGTTCTTACATACTAGTAAACCCTATCAATAATGAATGCACAGTGCAAGCGTTTACTTTGATTTGCCTATCTCGCTCATAAACATTATGCCTCCATGTGGTATACCTTTAAGTCTGACACGCTGTGTGATTAGTCCTGTAAAGCACGCTACTACCAGGACTGGAGTAAGAAAAACACGTCAAACGATATAAAGTGACGTCATTAAAGTCTCCTTGTTGTAATTGAATATATAAAAGCGTAAGCTATTTGATATCCATTAAGTAGATTTGGAAATACTGCAGTTATTTGCCATAAAAATGATGGATATTAGATGATAACTCATGATTCAACGGCATATTGAAAATAAATAAAAATTGTTTCTTGACCTATTGTCAGGTGAGCAGTATATCTGATGTCACTGCATATTAACAGATTAATGTAGTAGCTATCAACCCTAAGCTACTACATTTACTTGCATTACGTGCTCGGTATTTAGCGGTATACAGACTTGCGACCGGCATATCGATCAGTACAGAATTATTATTCAACTTGCCAAGTCCTACTTACTTTTTACAGCGTGCTACCACATAGAAACAAACACGAAATCCTATGAATGACTAAAGTGACAACCCCATAATACAACAGTAAATCCCCATCCTACTAACTTAGCCTAAAATGATTTAATCCGAATTCACATATTACAAAAGCCCATACTTTGGTGGCGCTTCGAAGAAGTCCAGAAGAAGTAGAAACTAAGAGTATATTAAACATTTCATTTATTTATAAAATAAAATTTTGATGAAGGGTATTAACATCAGTTTGACTGAGCGGCATTTCCGCCTTCATATACCTAAAATATGAAGCACACAATGAAGTTATGGGAGATAGTTCCACATATTAGTATACTATATGAATACACTGATTCTATTAATAATATGTAAAATTCTTATTCAAATAAAAGTATTTGTAGTCCACAGCCGGCTTTTGTATTGACACTGTAAGAATTAATAGACCTCATATGTTTTCCAGTCTTAGAGAGTTATACGCAAATTTCAAGGCAATCTCTGAAACATCCATAATGTTGAAGCGTCATACTCTCATCAAGCTTACTCGCAGATCAATTTCACACTGAATATGTCTACATTAAATGATGTATTGCAGATGAGTGACTCAGAAATTGATCCACAATCTAAGTAAGGTCGAGTGAACGGAGTTTTATGAATCGCACAGAAATCACATTCTCATATTTATTAAACTGTAGCCATCACTTATGAAGTGCACAGGTCTCAACTCTAAACAATTATCCAGGGTGTTAACAGAATAGAGAAACACTTAAAATATTGTAAGATACACAGGCCTGTTGCGCTGATGAGGATAATGCAATGTAATGCAACCTAGATATTCAAACGTCATACTGCATTTGTACTGCTTCCAGTAAATGGAAATTTCGGGAGAAACTCATCTCCACTATTGATGATCAAAACCATTGCAGGGTTAAGTTTACAGTCTGAGTGAGAATGCTAAAACAGACAGTAAACTGATGCCAATAGAGTTGGCTAGTTAAGTTCTCGCAATCAAAACAATCCATGCATATAATAATACTGTAAAGGTAGTTGAAGATTGAATGATCAATTCATGGTTGTTTGCTCAAAACCAACTTCCCCAAATTTCGCGGAGGCATCAATACGACAGCCATCGTCTCATCGGTCGCTGTTCAGAAAGA